ATTATTATTATTATTATTATTATTATTATTATTATTATTATTATTATTATTCAAGTTTAATTCATTTGTAACGTTGACAAAACCCAAGAAATGCGACCTATCGTTGATCATTGACAAATTACAGACGCTATCAAGGAAAACAATTCATACATTTTGAACAATCGAACTCGCAACAACTGCCTCGCCGGTGACCGATTTTCCTCGACCCTCGATCCAATTCATGGCGGACGCTTTTTTATCAACGCAGAAGTTTCCACTTAAGCTGAGAATGCGCATATCGGGGAAATACTTCAAGTGAAGCGTGTTTAGCACCACCTCAACCCCCTAAACAAAGCCGGCAAAGTCATCGACGGAACACTCATCGGTCAATCACTTGCCTGTGAAACCATATTCATTCCCATAGCGTCGCCAGTTGTAGCACCGAATCGCGCATAAACAAGGCGACCAACAACGTATGCGGACACAGAACACAGTCTGGCGAACCTGAAATAACACAGCAAAAATGATTAGATTCACAATGCCATTTACACCTTTGCTTAGCGTTATTCACATCATTTAATCCTGCGTGTTGTTAGTACTGCTGTCATGTACATTTAAAGATGTTTTAGCACTGTTGTTTTAAAACAACGTTAACAATGCGCACATTTCGCTTAGACTAAATCTTGGAAACGATTCTGTTCATCTGATTCCCAATTTAGGGATTTTTACCTTGTGGTTCTGTTAGCAAAGGCGTAAAAACGCGCTGGGGATGCTAAGTCGTTTATATTTAATGAATACATGTCAGACAGCATGAGCTGAAATTCCACAAGCAGCTGCGTCATTAATTCAAAGATTCTCACTATTCAGGTAGTTCAGAGGCCGCTTATCTACCTGCAATCCCTTACTCATGCTGTCGAACCAACGTACAGAATGTACTGAATTATTCCATGATCAAGAGAAGGACCATTCTTTACGAAACCTAGGTTGCAATGTCTCTTAACCTATTCAGTCACGAACCGTTTAATCAACACTGACACAAAAACTTATGTACTGACCCAAACAGGGGAAAGCAGCATAGCATACAATATAAGCTATCTTAGGCGATAAATGCATTCAGGAGACGAGGCAGCTCAACAATAGGAATGAGAAAAAAATGGCGTGCATAAGTTGGTAAGCTGAAAGAGGCTTTGAAGCAACAGGCCACAGCACATATCACAGATATGTGGAAAAATAAGCTGCCTACAGAGTCACTACCTCGCTTAGAATTTAATTTCAACGTCAGAGTTCATAAAATTCGTGAACTAGATGACTCGAATATACGAAAGACCTAGAAATGCTAAGTCC